AGTAGATTCAACTGTTGTTTCTGATGATGTTGGTGGAATGCTGGTAGAAGGCAGGTCGGTTGTTCCGTGTGTAATATATGTAGTAGGTTCAACTGTTGTTTCTATTGATGTTGGTGGAATGCTGGTAGAAGGTAGGTTGGTGATGTCATAAGTAACATATGTAGTAGGTTCAACGGTTGTTCCTAATGATGTTGGTAAAATGGTGGTAGAAGGTAGGTTGCTGGTGTCATGTGTAATATATGTCGTGGGCTCGACTGTTGTTTCTATTGATGTTCGCGAAATGCTGGTAGGAGGTAGCTCGGTGGTGTCATAAGTAACATATGTAGTAGATTCAACTGTTGTTTCTAATGATGTTGGTAAAATGGTGGTAGAAGGCAGGTTGGTGGTGTCAAGTGTAATATATGTGGTAGGTTCAACTGTTGTTTCTATTGATGTTGGTGGAATGGTGGTAGAAGGTAGGTTGGTTGTTCCGTGTGTAATATATGTAGTAGGTTCAACTGTTGTTTCTATTGATGTTGGTGGAATGCTGGTAGAAGATAGCTCGGTGGTGTCATAAGCAACATATGTAGTAGATTCAACTGTTGTTTCTAATGATGTTGGTGGAATGCTGGTAGAGGGCAGGTCGGTGGTGTCATAAGTAGCATATGTAGTAGGTTCAACTGTTGTTTCTATTGATGTTGGTGAAATGCTGGTAGAAGATAGGTTGGTTGTTCCGTGTGTAATATATGTAGTAGGTTCAACTGTTGTTTCTATTGATGTTGGTGGAATGGTGGTAGAAGGTAGGTTGGTTGTTCCGTGTGTAATATATGTAGTAGGTTCGACTGTTGTTTCTATTGATGTTGGTGAAATGCTGGTAGGAGGTAGCTCGGTGGTGTCATAAGTAATATATGTAGTAGATTCAACTGTTGTTTCTGATGATGTTGGTAAAATGGTGGTAGAAGGTAGGTTGGTGGTGTCATGTGTAATATATGTCGTGGGCTCGACTGTTGTTTCTATTGATGTTGGTGAAATGCTGGTAGAAGATAGCTCGGTGGTGTCATAAGTAACATATGTAGTAGATTCAACTGTTGTTTCTGATGATGTTGGTG